GAAACACCTCAGAAGACCGGACCCGAAAGCCCTGAAACAGCACTGACAACACACACAGCCCTGCTGTTATGAAGGGTTAGGGAGGAAAAAATAAGATGTGCTCGGCAGCCCTGAGCACGGCAGTCCCGGCGAGCGGAGGAGAGCGTCCTGCTGGGAGCGGGTCGGGGGAGCCGCTGCCTCCCGGGCGCTCCCCGAGGGCCGGCCGAGGGCGCGAGGAAAGAGGTGGCTCACCATCTGCTGCAAGACAATACGCAGGAGGCTTGGCAGCTCAATCTTAAAAATATATATCCTTTCACCAAGAAGCAAAAGGCCCACAAACCCATTTAAATGAAAAATACCCTGCAGGTCACCTTTAAATCCCAGCTGAGACATTGACTCACTCTGTAACCTCCGGAAAGGCACCCGAGTCTTTCGTACTTAGTTACTCCAGATGGGAAAAGAGGAGAGATGGTACCAACAAATCAACCCACAGCACCTCTGCAAACGCTGGAGCAGGGCTTGAGTTAGGGCCTCGCGAGGGAGACAGTGCAACGCTACGCGGAGAAGAGCTGCGGGTACCTGCAGGAGAGAAGCTTCCCAGTTGCAGCTCTGCCTTAGATACATTACAAGGGGCTGGAAAGTCACATCCACACAATGTTTCCTGCAAAATGTATTTCCCCTATTCACAACTCCCATTCTCCTTTGAACCAGTTAACAACTCCAGCGTCTTCTGGAGGTGAACTGGTCTCTGCATTTTTAGCAGCCCAACTCCTCTCCCCAGCCTGGAGATGCAGAGCCTCCTCCAACACCATCTCTGGAGAAAGATGGAGAGGAAGCGTGGGGAGGCTGGGCCACGTCCAGCTGTAAACTCCAGCACGTTTGGTCTCAGTTATTAACCTGCTCTCAGTCTTTGCAAAGAACTTTAAAGCGTTCAAGCAAATAACACAAAGGAAAAACATTCTCAGCACCACCATTCAGCAGAGACTGCTCTCCTCCGCGGCGCGCTGGGAGCGCCGGGCTCTCCAGCGCCACGCTGCCCAGCTGTGCCACCACAGCTGCATCATGCCTCCACCACCTCTAGTAAACCCCTCACCACTTGCTCTGAAGTCTCAAACCTCACCACGATTTCCCCTTTCTCTTCCATTGTCGCTTAAAAAGAGCAAATCGTTCATAAGAACTAATTATTCAGTGTACTCTCACCCCATAATACTGTAAATTAAAAGAGAACTCAAATAAATTAAGGAACTTCCCTCATGCCTTTTATTATCTCAATAACCTTCAAAGGCATTTATCTTCTGTCAGCTGATCCATTTGAAAAATTGTGACGACAAATTAATTTAGTAAATGCACACACTTTAAAACCTTTATTTATTTATACATTGAATGAGCAAATACGACCCAAGCTGGATGAGCTGCTTGAGAAGCGAGTCTTTAACGGGGCACTTTCGCCTGCCCCGAACGCCCCAGCGCGGCCGACGCGCTCCAGCCCTGCTGCCCCCTCCGGCCGCGGAGATCCTGGCGTCCCTCTGGGCAGCCCCAATTACACGGAGGCCTTGCTCACTGCACTCCTATTAAACCGGCAGACATCCTGGGGGATCCACCTAATGCACCATGGCAAACGAGCTAAACTGCTCCACCTAGAAATTACACCGAAAAAGGGAAAGAAGAAACCTACTTGGCAGGATAAGGAGGCAACAGACAAACAACCAGCAGCACGAGCAGCATGGAGAGACCTGCTCCAGGCACCAGCACACAACACGGGCTGCCTGGCTATCCTGCAGCCTGGCACGCGAATGCAATACTCAAGGACGACACATTACAGGGATGGGAGATGGAGAAGTAACTGCAGAGAGGGCTTTTTATTTTTAATTTGAAAAGGAAAAGGGGAAAAAATAAAAAACATACCTTGTCAAAAAGATACCGTGTAAACAGGGAATACCAAATTTGCACAGTTGGAAAGGTTTGGGAAAGGAAATACAGAGGACCTCTTTTTTCAAATGCAGCATCACATGGAAGAAACGTTAACCTAAAAATATCACCTAAAGGACCTCAGCTCTGCCGGGGTCCTTCTCATCTCAGAGAAGGAGAGGAAGAAGGGACAGAGCGCAACAGCCCCACGGCAAAACAGACGTTACCCCCACGGAGACGCCAGCATCGCGTTTAGGATAACCGCCCTACACCAGCCGAGACTCCTGGAGATGTCTCCAGGGGCTCCTCAAATTCCAGGAAGTTTGTCCCTATCCGTTTCCTAAATTGACACGAGCAAGTAAAGCTGTGAACACTAGGCTGCTGGTTTCCAAATCCTGCCCACCCTGTGCCCCTTCAAGTATTTGTTTTTTGGATCATGGCCACGGTTAGTTTCCCAGCTGGCCGGCTTGTGAGCTCTGGATCTCCAGTCTTTGGTGCTCCAAAACTACCGTCTCAGCTTGCTACGCAAAATTTACATCCCCTCCGCTGTGTGAAAGGATCCCAAAGCCATGCCCTGAAAGCAATAACCATAACCCTGGCAAGAATTTACCTAATGCTGCAGCAAAGTGTTTTTGTGTGCCCTTGTGCCAAGGCTTTCTATTGTGCTGAACAATCCTACAGATCATTTTAAAAAAGAGAGAAAAAAACAAACTCATGTATTTTGTCTGGAATAACACACACAGAAGCCCTACATAGCTCCCCAGAGCCATGAACAAATTCCCAGCAACTGGCCAGATTTGGGCATCCCTGCCAGCCCTGACCCTCTGCAATCATCCCTCTACAAAAATTATAAACTGCAGGCACTTTCTCCATCTATTACACAGAAAAATAGCCTTCATTTCTTGCTTTGTGAGGCTTTATCACACCTCAACCATTTTAGCCTGAAACCAGGAAGCTCTTTAGGGAACAGACTGTCTTAATCTATGTTTGCACAGCACCCAGCATAAGGAGGCCTCTAGCCTGACTGCAGCCTTTGGGTACAATTGTTATACAAATACAACAACAACAGAATAAACCTCCCAAGTGCTGCAAGACTAATCACAAGCCTCAGGACATCCTAGAGACTGCCAGGCAGGCAGCCGGGAGAAAGGGCAAGGTATTCCCTGACTTCGCAGCTTCCCAAAACGCACAGCTACCCGCGGCCATCTCTGGAACCCGGCGGCCACGCTCCTCGCCCCGAGCTTTCCCGTCCGTCCCTAGAAAAAGCCCACGAACAGCCTGGCACCACGGACAGAACACAAAGCAGCCAGAAACGCTCCTGCTCACGGCCAGGTTTTCACGGAGGCAGCGAGCGAGTTCCAAGTCTTCATGAAAGGCAACCGAAAATAGTCAGTGTTGTTAATGTCATGCTTACTGGAGTGAGAAGCCGAGAAATCCCTGCTTCCCTGCTATCCCCCCTTGCCATCCGACTGCCTGCGTGCGCACACACACGCCCGCAGCCTCCCCAGCTCTCTGCAGGCAGGAGCCGCGCTGCCTCCGCGGCTGCTCCAGCGGGAGGGCTGGAGCGGGGGCCGCGTCCGTGCCCGTGCCCTGTCACCCGGCCGCTCCGGGGTCCCTGAGCCACATTTGTTTACTTCGAACGTCTGCATTTAAACATTTGGACGAGATGCTGCACGTTGTACTGCTTCCTGGCGCAAATATCGATGGAGGGATCTCCAGACATATGGACGGCTGAATAAAGGCGCTGTGTATTTACACACACAACGCAAATAAAACAGGTGACTCTAAGAGGCCTTCTCTCCCTCCCCGCACAGCGAGCCTTTAACACATGCCAGCACAGCAAGCCCAGCTCGCAAAGGAATTCCTGGAGACAGGCATCCTTTCGCAGTAGAGGAAAAACCCGAAGAAGCTGCGCAAGCTGACGCGCGCTTGCATCGCTCTGCCCCTTCGCAGAGGGGCCGCGCTCTGCCTCCGCGGCTTCGCCCGCGCGCTGCGGCTAGCCAGCCGACGGGGGGAAAAGGGGAGCCTCTCCTCCGCTCTCACCCCATTAAGCCAGACTCTACTTCACGCAACTTTTTCTTACAATTTACGTTCACCTGGAGGGCGTGATTTTAATTAGCATAATATTCCTGTTAACAACAGCACCTAATTAAGACATCCGTTAAGAATCCATAATGTAAACTTAATGAGAAGTTGCGCTAAATTTTTTTTTTTTTTTTGCAGGCAAACAGAACACAGCAGATTCTAACTTTAAGAGACCGCGTTATTAACGGACAGATCCAATCGCTCAAACCTGAACTCACGCGGGGAGACTTCTAAGAAAGCATCACTCCTCCGCACCCTGCCAAGGAGAAACTTCTTTCCAGAACGCACCTGGGCAGCCCCGGCGCGCCGGGAAGGGTGACGCCGGCGGAGCCCGCTCGCCTTTCCTGCCGCCGCCT